CGGTTGGCGACGAGATTAAGGCACTTCTTTCACGCAGATTGAACGTCGTCTCTTCGTGATCGTCTTCTTCGAACGCGGCCGACATGCTCTCGTCCTTTTTGTCGATGAACGCCTTCTCGGCCGCCGTAAGGTTTGCGGAGTGCATCCTGGCTCCCGCGCAAACGGCGGCGAACACGAGAACTGTCACGACGATCGCCACGCTGCATCCGATCATCTCCAGCGTGCACGAACGTTTCTCCACGTCCGCGGACTTTGCCGTTCTCACGACACCCCACAGGTCCCAATTCAACATCGGAGTGAATTTTCGATCGATCTTCGTGTCTTCGCTTCCGATCGTCTCCAGGAGGGTGGAATCGGAGACGGCGATCGACCCCGAAGTTCTTTCCAGCACCACGGATCCTCCGACTACCCGTTTGACGGTCACCCGATTCAGACGGATGGTGCCTTCGGAAAGAAGTGGAGACGCCCGAACCACGACTTTCGGGGGAGCCTCGACGTGAGTCTCGTTCGAGCCGTTCGTGTAACTCAAACGTTTCAAAGTCACTGCCTGCCAACTCCGGTCACGCGCACCGACGAAGAGAGATCGCCTCTCGCTCCGACGTACCCGTCGCAGCGGAACTCGAATCCTTCAACGTGCACGTGGCTGTCGATCAAGAAGACGTTGCATCCGTCCCGTCCGTCGGCGACCGTGATGATTCCCTCTCCGCACATCGGCAGCACGGTCACGTTCGACAGGAAGACGGGTCCCAGATCGTAAGGCAGGACGCTCAGCAACGACGACTTCTCGCAAGACGACGGATCTTCCGCCGACGCGTCGTCCGGCACGACCACGAACGTGTCCCTCCCTTTCGAACCGAACTTCAAATCTCCGAGACTTCCCGACTGCTTCCGGCACCGGCCCGGCGAAGACGATATCAACATCAGCGAGAGAACCATTGCAGCCGTAATAAACATCGTTGCGGTCTTCGTCGTCCATCGATCAAACGCTAATCTTCACAGTGTATAAGTGTGTTTTCGAGGACACCGAGTTAACCGAACATGGACTTTTTCGCCCAAGATAAGTTGCGTTTGGCGCTGACGATAGGTCTTGCGGTCGCCGTCTTGATCGTGAGCTTGTTCCTGCTGAGCTGCTGCCTTAAAAGGCGCATGGACAATTCCGGAAGCTACCGACCGGTCGTGAAGGAGGGTCGAAGCTCGTACTACACCAACAGACTGTCCGAAATTCACGCTCGGACTACGCTTGTTTGACAGTCGATTAAAAAAAATACGAAAAAAAATAAAAATTGTCACCTTGCCTCGATCTTTCTATGTTCGCCTGTCACTCGCTTATTTAACGTCAAGTTCGCAAACTTTCACACACTAAAAAAAAAACCCGACAAAGTTTTTATGTATTTTTCCCTATCATTTATTATTTTTTTTGTCTAAATCTGAAATACAAGGGATCGACATCATTCCACTACAACCTTCATTTTTTCAAGGGTCGTGAGCTCGTCCGCGTCGAACTCGCAATTTCTCAGCACGATCTCCGAAACGACTCCGCCGAAGGTTGTCGCTAGCTTGATCGGAGACACGTGCATCTCCTCCAGACAGAGGACCGGAGGCGAGTTATCGTCGCATACGCGCTCTCCGCCGTCTTCGTCTTCGACGACGGCGGAGAACCTCAACTTGCGACATCTGACCAACCGAACGTGCAGGAGGACGTTCCCCTTTCGAATCAGTGTCATCACGAAAGAGTCGACGATCGGCATGTCGACCAGAGTCAACCGTTGCAGGGAAGGCAAACCGAGAAGGTTGTTCGCGAACGTCTTCCCGAGTCGGTACCCCTCGTCCTCGAATCCGTTCATTGCCACGGATATCTCGTACGGATCGTGATGAGCCAGCTCGACCTGCACGAGTTTGAGGATCGTCACGAAATCCAAGACCGCGGGCTCCACTGTCATGGATTTTAGAACCTCGCGAACGCAATCTCTCCGTCTGGAGGCGCGAACGGCGTCGCTGTGGCAAGCGCGACATCGGTCGACACTCCGGTCAAGCCGAGCGCGACTGGACATCTCGCCGCAGACGACGCACGAAAATAACATGCATCGGCTGCACGGCGTGCTCTTCTTGCAATCTCCGCAATTCTTTCGTCTGCATTCCGTTCCGTGCATGACTTCGTCCCAAAAATTGGAAATGTTGGATAACTGCAACCTGAGCGCCGGTTCGTCCTTCGTCGTTTCTCTCGCTGCGTTGCAGAGTTTGACGGGAACCTCCATCATCGTCATCCTTGATTTCTCTAATTTTAAGCGCAGCGAGCGGTATAGCGCGTTATGCAAGTTTGGAAGATGCTAATAATATTCACACAACAAACGTATAATTTCATTTTTTTTGGTAATTTTTATTTTTCGATTCAACAG